CTTGGCTGCCTCTCACCTCTCCCCCTTTCAGCTGTATTTATGGGAAGCTCAGCAACATTCTGGAGATAATAGTGGGGTGGATGGAGTGTGCAGAGCCCTGGCTGTGAGGGCACATGGAAAAACATCCTCCCAGTCCCTAGGAACAGCCATCCCCCCTCCCAGCATGCTGGAGACAGGCAGAAACCTGGCACACAGTTTTTGAAAGGAGAGCTCCCCCTCCGCTGTGCTGTTTCTTGTCATGGAATGATTTGGGGTGGAAGGGACCTCAAATCTCATCTCATTCCACCCCCTGCCATGGGTGGGGACACCTTCCACTAGCCCAGGTTTCTCCAACCTGGCCTTGAATGTGTGCAGGTGCAGGGATGGGAAGTGTTAGGTGTTGATGGAATTACAAAGATCCCCCTGCACAGCCAGTGCACCCTGGGGGTTGTCTGGAAGTTGTTCTCTATTGGGTTTTTTCTTTATTTTTGTAAGTTCTTACAAGAAAGAATCTGGAGTCAGGCTGTGCAGCCCCTGCCATTTCAGAGCCCAGGGCAGTTCAGTGCCTGGTTCCACGTGGGCAGACAGGGAAGGGGACACAGAGGGGACATGTCCCATGATGAGGCTGCTCCAGAATGGGCTGTGACAGCTGAACTGGTGATGTCGTGCTGCTTCTCATTAGGATTCCTGTGCCAGACACAGGGGCATTCCCCAGCAGACCAAATACACAACAATTGGTGGGCAATGTGGCAGGAGGTCCACGCTGGAATGTTCTCCCAGGGTTTTGGGTTGGGCTGTTTCACAGGAGCGCAGTGCTTGTGCAGGTGATAAAGGTGGGTAGGTCAAGCTTAGCTTTGCTGGGCCACTTTATCAAACTGGGGTCGCAGGGCTCTTGTTGTGACATTTAGAGATAAGCATTTGGGAGGTAAATGAGATGGAGCAGCCTGTGAGGAGATCAGAAGGTGCTTGAGTAGCTTCAGACCTCAAGTAAATTACAAATACAGCGTTGGTAGCCTAGCCATTGCCGTGTCCTTTGTACACAGGGTATTAAGATCTAGATAAATAATGTAGTTTAGTTGTCAGAAAGATGCATTTGTTGCCCAGGATTTTAACACAGATTTATTCTTGGTTTATTTTTCGTGGAGTTATTTTTAATGCGAATGGAAAGGGAGTTAAAAATTATGTGGATTCAGATTTCATTGTTTAGCTACTTGATCAAAATATAAACTCATTGTTCTTACTCTTGTAAAGAGGAAATGCTATATTAGCTTTCAGCCATCAGATTTGATTCAGATAATGATACAGCATCCTCATTCAGGGTCTCTTCATCAGATACTGAATTTGTCTGTGATAGAGCTCTTTTCAGAAAACTGCTCTACCCCTGATAAATCATCCAGAGAGAACAAATACATGGATTTAGATGGCACAGAAAAATAGGCTAATAATGGGATTGTATTCCTATACTCAAATATTTCAGTGTGTTTGTGTTGATAAATTACAATTTGTTTTCATGTTCAGTTGCATGGAGCCTTTTCAGCTGTTCTGCTTGGCCACAGTGTTTCGGTAGCTTTGTGAGGGTTGGAGCCTGGATGCTTTTCCTGTTTTGATCACAGCCCAGGCAGTAAAGGCCACCACACTTTAAACAGATAATAAATCACCCCGTGTCCTTGCTAACCAACACTGCAGATTCCCCCGGGTCTGAACTGAGCGTCCTTCTTCCTGTTCAATTTTGTGTAAAGAAGGTAAAATTCTGTTTGAAGTTCAGTGTAATATTTTGAGACAAAGTCTGATGAGAAATTTTTCCAAACTGCCAAAAATAAATCTCCCCAGCAGAGCTGTGACTCGAGGCATATGTATTCTTGACTTCTGTCTGTTTATTTTTATTTCCCTTTGGTTGTGAGCTGTCTCAAGTTTTGATGTTGTTTCACTGAGGAAGGAATTATAAAAGTACCCTATAAACTCTTTCCTATAAACTCTTTCCAAGGGCAAGCCAGGAAAAGAGGGGAGAAAAGAAAAACTGGTGTGAAAAATGCCTTTTGCTGTGGTGTGTGCCATTTATCCACTCACCTGCATGGAGCCTTTGGCTGAGTTTAAAACACTGGATCACATTCCTGCAGTTCCCTTTCCTGCCCTGTTTGCTCTGGGAAGGGAATGGCACTGGGATGCTCTATCTCAAGTGTTCAGCTGCAACAGATTTCAAGTTATTGGGAAGATTTCAAGTTGTCAAAGCATTTACCCCATTCAGGTGTGTGCTCTGATGTGTCCTGGGATTGCCCCAGGTGGATTGCAGTGGGATAAACCATTGCTTGCCAGTGGAGCTGGATCACCCTGAGCTGCCTTTCCTCTACCAGGAAATATTTTAAAAGCAGTTTTACCCCCACCACAAGCTGCTGTCTGAATCAAGCACAAGTTTTCCCATGATGGCATGAATTTTGCTTGGTAACGTTCTGATTGTTGGGATTAGTGTTTAGAATCCTGAATTTGCTAAATGAATGCACTTGAAAGGTTTTCTCCCTTTTTGTTCCTGTTTTCATGGCTCTGGGATCCTCCTTCTATTCCTCTCACCCTGCTCCTCTCCCTCTCTGCTGTTACAAACAGCCAACAACATCCCTCATTATTCAAGATGAAAATGAAGGTGAAGTCCTGACATAGTTTATATCCTGAAATAAAAAGTGCTGCAAATCCTGTCTTTCAGAAGTCAGGATGTGCCAGAGGAGGCAGTTAAATAGCAGGATCTTGGCTAGAGCTTGCCATGGGCACAGGAGCAAGGATGACATTCTCCTGCTTCTGGATCTGGGATTACATCTCCTGCATTTCTGTCTTCACTTCTGACATCACTTTTCTGGCTGGTGCCAAACAAGTCAGTAAATTCAGAGGCAATATCAAGGATAAAAGCCCTAAACCCAGTGATTTTCAACCAGCTGAGATTTTTATTTCAAGAAAAGTTGCTTTGCTTGGATGATATAATTTCTCCTGATGTTACAAAGGGTGCCGGTATCCAGGCTGTAAATCTAATTCTGTTTGTAATTTCACTGGGCACTAAAACTGCCTCTGACAGATTTTGGCCTTGAATGTGGGTATTTATTTTGCCATCAGTGATTATTGTTACTTTCTTCAATGTCAGCATCATCAGGTGACAAAGAAAACATGTCCTAAAACGTGCACAGCCCTCAGGTCTCCCTGAGAAGGCAGGGAGAGGGGAAAAGCTGCTCAACCTGCCAGTTTGCTTTGCTAGAAGTGTAATTTGTAGATGTTTGTGATCTACAAGGACAGTGTTCAACCTTTTTGTGTCCCAAAACAGGCAGCAGGATATATCAGGAAACACTTGGGTGACTTGGCTTGGCCTAAGAGCAGAAGCACAGTTTGGTTCAGTCCAAAGAGGCAGCTCAGAAAGCTGCAATATTATCCTTTACTTGATGGGGATTAAGCTGTATTTTAGTGCAATAACCATGTCAGAAGTGAAATTTGACTGATCATTTGTCTTTCATAGCTTCATTTGCCTTGGGCTCCCCAAGCCATTTCTCAGGGAGTGGGACAACTCCTGATACTCCAACTCTCTGCATGACTTGTCATTTAAATGACAAAAATCACTTCTCTCAAAAGCCTACTTTTCCTTCAGGAAAATCAGATTAAACCCAGGGCTGAGAGTGTTTTGGTGAGTGGTTTAACATCCAATATGTTGCATGACTGTAGATGTGTAAGTAAATGTGTCGGAAAAGAGAATTTCCCAACTTTTTAAGGTCATCTTCTTTTCCGAAAAGCTTGAGGCCTCAATGGGCCCTTTTCTATATGGAGAAAATGCTTCAAATATGTCTCTGTGACCCCCTGCATGAGGTTCAGGCAGCTCAGGGACTGTGGCCTGTGTCTAGGTTGGAAGATTTCATGGTGACTGTTGCAGTTGTGGACAGTATTCCCAGGACTCAGCATTGGAGGGGCTGTCCAGAATCTGACCAAATCTCACCTGGAATTAAAAATGGGTCTGTAGCACTCATTCAGCACTAGTTCTGCTCAGCTGAGCCTTGAAAAATCTCCAACAATGGGAAATCCACCCTTTCTCTGCAGCAGCATCAGTGCTGCCCTCTCAGGTGATGCAGCTTCAGGTTATTAGTTTAATCTTCCTCCAGATTTATTTCCAGGTGTAAGTGCACTATGAAGTGGCTGCTTGTGCCTTGTCAGTGGCAAAAGCAGGAATGCAGCATCTTGGTTGTGCATGACTAATAGTGTCCTCTGCAAAGTTACTGAATTTTATTCTTCAGACACACACACTAAGAATTATTGAACTTGTAAGTGAATTAGACCCAAACCAGCTTCGAGGTGAAGCCATAGAAAATTTTATGTACAACAAATATACCTTTTTTTGTCCTAAATTATCACAGTTGCTAAGTAAAAATATGCTATAAACCTTTAGAGTGATTTTGTGGGCAGTATTTTAATGAATTTTGTAGCACTGAGCGTGTTGTAATTTGGCAAAAGAAATTTTGAGTTATACAGAAACCAGCAAATAATACTTGTCACCTTCAATGAGCTCCAGTTCTCTGATGTCTAAAGCCAGAGCACTCTTGAGAAAATAATAAATAAACCAGAGATGTTTCGAAATGGCAACACTTCTAGTTGAAATGATGATCCAGAATAATCTTCCTTTAAGCCTGGCTTCCATTTGGGGAACTTTCCTTGGCATAAATTCAGAGGTGTAGCTGCTGTGGAGGTAGATAGAGACATTTACTGCTAATCTCATCAATGTTTCAGCTGAATTAGGAGACTGAAGGCATTCAGTGCTTACCCAGCCCCACCACAGCTTGGATAATTTATACCTTTTGCAGCACATGCAGGTGTATGTGAAACTGGAAATTCAGACCTGCTCAAAGTGAACTCCAGGCAGAATTCTGTTTTAATCAAATCTCCCACCAGATGCGATCAGAATTTAAGTAACACTTGCAAACTGAAAATAACATCAGGAAGAACATGATGATGACCTGTCCTTCCCAGAGTTTCTGATGGCATATCCTGCTTCTGTCTTCCAGGACCTGCGCAAACAGGTAGCTCCGTTACTGAAGAGTTTCCAGGGAGAGGTAAGAGCTGCTTCTGCTTCTCATGGTGTTTTCAGTGCTGCTTCACGTGAGCCTGGTGTGCTGGCAGGGTGTGTGTGGCCACAGAGCCCTCAAGGCTCAGCCCTTTGCATTTTCTGTGTGCAGGGAATGTCAGCACCTGAAGATGGAGAGAGATTTTACAGGAGCACAAAGTGACAGGACAAGGGGAATGGCTTCAAACTTACAGAGAGTAGGTTTAGATGGTAATACTGGGGAGAAATTCTTTCCTGTAAGGATGGGGAGGCCCTGGCACAGGTAGGCCAGACAAGCTGTGGCTGCCTCATCCATGGGGGTGTTTAAAACCAGGTTGGATGGGACTCTCTGCAATCTGGGCTAGAGGAAAGATAGAGGTCCCTTCCCGTGGCAGTGGTGTGGAACAAGATGATCCTTAAGGTCCCTTCCAACCCAGGTCAGTCTGTGATTCTGTGATTCAGGGATTGTGCTGGACAATCTAAACTGGTCACATCTCTTTGCTCTGCATCCCTGAGCCTCCCTGAGCCTCCCTGAGCCTCCCTGAGCATCCTGTCACCGTGGCAGGGACCCAGGTGGCCCATCCAGCTCACTGGGCCTCACTGACCCTACAGGTTGAGCTGTTAATGAATGCAGTGTAGTGCCCTCATAAAACATGAGAATACTGCAAATTGTTCTCCCTGCAAAGCTTTTCAGCTGTAAAACATTGTATTCCAGAGGGCTGATGGAAAACCCTGGGATTGTTGGAGGGGCTGCAGAAGGTTCCAGCCCCACTGCTGGCTCCAACTTGGGCTTCTCTTCACAGCACTCACCGAGAACACACGGCAGAGTGCTCAGGAGTTTAAAAGCCAACTGCTGTTATTCTGAAGGGTTTCTGCAGGCAAAGGCAGCTGGGCCAATTAGAGAGTTTTCCATTTTTGCTGTGGCCAGATGGGAGCCATGGTTCTGCTGCTCAGAAAACATCAGAGAGGGAGGGTGGAAATTACATTTGTCCTCGTAAAGCTCCATGCCTGTGTGGGGTGCTGGATGGAGGCTTGAGCTCACACTGATATACATTACACAGCTCTGCCCCTCAAGAATCGTGTTCCAGCACTTCCTCAGCCCATGAGTTGTTCACTGACTTCAGATTGTGGCACTTCCATCAGCACAGGGAAGTTCAGGAGCATGTTTGCAGGACAGGGATCTGAGTGCACAACTCCCCTTAGTGAGGCTTGCAGTTCTACATCCTGCTAAATCTGTGTCCCAGCTAGGCAATAATCCCTCATTTCAAAGCAGCGTGGTACTTTTTGTTTTACGGCCTGGTTTCCCAAGTATTGCTAGAAATAAATAAATAAACAGGATAACTTTGTCCTTGATATATCCAAAAGACATTTGTGAGAACAAAGAATGACTTGCGTGAGTCCGTTTGCCAATGGAAATTTACACTTTAAAATTGCTCCGAGTGCATTGCAGTGCTCTTAGAACCTTTTCACTTCAGTTTCAAGCTTGCAATGCACTGACTGAAAAGTGCATGTGTGCTTTCAGCACTGTTCTTTAATGAAAGGAATGTCTGAGGATCAAGTAAAAAGCATAAATTTAAATTTGGCTACAATGAAGGACCTTCTGCCATAAGATCTTCCCTGGTGGAGACAGCTCCCTGTTACCTTGGCATGGTTCATACACACTCCTCTCTATAGTTTTTCTTCACTGATATAAAAGTGAAGTTTATTTTGGTACAAATTCAACCTCACCAGAGTAAAATTTGGGGTTGTAATCCCCTGTTACGTAAATGAAGCACAAATACATTAAAAGATTGTGCTGCTGAATCTCTGAGCTGGTGATTCCAGTCTCCCTAATCGAGACAGGGTTTCAGAAACCTAAAAAACCTGAACTAATCATGATTGACTACATAAATGCACCACATTAAACTGTGAATTATGGTATTTGATTATAGATGTAATTACTGTATCTTGTTTTGGAGACAAATCAAAATACCGAGGATATGAGCCTGTTCTGTTGAGTTATATTTGATTGTTCAGGATATAGATCTGGTTTCTGGTTGTTGTTAAGGCTGACTTTCTAAAACATCAGGAGATAACTGCTCTGGGTATCTCAAAAACAAGTTTTGTTGAGCAGATATGCTTCTCTCCATTTCAAAGCCACAGGAGATGCCTCAATTCCTGTCCCTTGAGAGGCTCAGGGAGCAACACTGCTGGGAGCAGGCACTCAAACCTCTGCAGCCCCTGGGATTGCCTGGCAATAAATGATTACCTGTCAGGTGATATTTAATGTCCTGGGAGGAGCTGGCAGAGGGACCTTTTGGTCACACAGTACCTGTGGGATGGGATGTGAGCAGGGAGAAGGAACAGGGCAAGAGGTTCCCCTATTTTACTACACAGACATCAGTTTTCAGCCCCACATTTGTTCCTGGAAGTGTTCAAGGCCAGGTTGGATGGGGCTCAGAGTAACCTGTTCTGGTGGAAGGTGCACATGGCAAGGGAGCTGGAACAGGATGGACTTTAAGGTCCCTTCCAACCCAAACCTTTCAGTGATTCTATGACTTCAGGTTTTTTAAAAAGGTCAACAGCAGTGAATAAATAAAACAGAGGTAAGTGGAGAAGTGGTGATAGTAAATGTTTTTTAGGGTCCCTTCTGCTGGAGAGTGTCCTGGAGCAGGAGAGGGGAATGCTGTAGGAGCAGCCTCCATAGGCGTTGTGAGTGGGAATATGGAACTTTGGGGCACCACCAGCTGCTCACTCAGAACTGAACAAAAATCTTCTTGCCTGATGCAACTTCTCCACTTCCCTGTGGGAGAGTTTCCACCACGTTTTTGCCTCTGACTCCTGTCTCCATCCCCTGCTGCTGCTGCTGCCTCATCCTTTGCTTCAGCTCTGTTCTTAGACAGAGTTAGGTGATTTGGGCATGGAATAATAAACCAGACTCCACATCAGAAAGGAAATGGGCTTTTGCCAATCCCATGTGGGCTGAACTGTCCACAGGGCTCTGGGCTCCAGGGAGGTCAGAGGATGGAGGCAGCTCCCTGATGAGCCCAGGTATTTATCAGCTTTACATGGATATTGCTGTGCTCCTGCTCCCCACCCCCTGCCTTTCCTCAGCACTGCTTCTGGTGTGAGTCCATGTTCAGCACAAAGTTGGGGTTTTTTCCTCTCTTTTTGCTGGCTTCGTTTCCCACCAGGTGGGTTCAGAGCAGCAGCTCAGTGCAGGGGAGAGGCCAGGAGAGCAGGAGCAGCACAAATGTGCCAGCTCAGGTTGACTTAAACTGTCCTTGAACTGTGCCTGGGTGAGCCTGACGTGACTTGGAGAGAGGGGAAGTTTAGCTCAGGTATTTATGTCCCCTCCCAAACACGATTTATGGGAGCTGCTGGTAGACCTGGGGCCAGTTGGCTTTTTTAAACAAACCCACAGGTCACTGTAGCCAATTTTTCTCTTCAGTTTAAGCAAGGAATGTTGATACTTCCCCCAGTATTTTCCCTTTATATCATATGAATTTATAAATACCGGACAAAGCAGAACATTCTGTATTCCTTAGTTATTTATCTCGTTCATTCAGATAACAACTGTTCCAGTTATCAAATATTCAGTTTCCATTAGTACTTGGAAATAACTTTTTTTGTATAGATCTCAGTGCATTAAGTAACTGGATTTTTTATGATAAGAGTTAAAGTAAAAAGCACTACGAAATGGAATTTAACATACTACAAATTTTCAAATGCATTCCTAGTTCAGCATGAGCCCCTATTAATTCATCACTGGAGAATAGTTTTATTATAGTACTTTTTCCTTATTTAGGATTTTAATGGAAATTTGAAAGCAGTTTTCTAATTTAACAGAATGTTGTGTCTGCTTCAGAGCTGATGGTACTGTTCTTTTGAAATCTGTGGGTAACTTTTCTGCCTTTTCTGGAAGATTTAAGGTCTGGGTGGTGTAAATAGGCTATTGGGAGCAAGACAGTTAAAAGTCATTAATTTCAGAAGTGTAAAATTCCTGTCATTTTGATCTTAAATCTCTGTCTTGCTTTTCCTTTTCCTTGCCATTAACTTGAGGATGCAACTTATTAATGGTTTGCACTCCCTGTGCTGGGCTAAATACAGGACAGAATCAGGAAAGGTTAAAGAGCTTCACCATGCAATCATGACATGATTATTATATATAATTAGCAAGGCACTCCTGCGAGCAGCCATCTGAATGAGCTGTGTTTTGGGTAGCTGTGTTTTTGTTTGTGCTTTACCATGGGTACATCAGTGGATGGATATTTGTACTTGAAATCTGAAAAAAAAAATAAAAAGGGCAGCAAAAAGAAGGGATGTTCATGGGCTGTGTTAATTTACAGAACTGAAGTTGTGGTATGGAAGTCTAATGTTGGAATCTGTATTTGTGAAGTCATCAGACAGATATTTTAAGGCTGGGAAAGGATTTCCTGAGGTCATTAGCATTCTTTTCATGTGGCATAGGAGCACTGTCCAACAGTAATGCAGTAATCCCTCATTTGGAGAACCCTCTAAGGCACAGACTCCAAAACAATGTGCTGGACTTGATGTCTGTGAAAGCCATTTCTCATATTCTTCTCCTGGAGCAAGTACTTTTAAGGGTATTGCCATTCTGATGAGACCACTCTGCCTCCCACTCAGCTGAATTGCTCTTTAAACTATTAATTTGGTCAGTCGAGTAATTTAATAATTTTCTATATGCAGACAACAGAAGCTGAAAATCAGTTTGATGTGCTGAAACTACTAATCATGTCTTTGAAGAGTACTGTAATAATGTGTGTGTCTAAACCACTTCAGACCTACGCTCCTTCTGCATTTTGAGGGACTGTTCCTGAGCTGATACTCATATTTTTCTATTTTACCCCCTTTAATTTCCTTATGTTAAATTTCCAAACCTAATTAATACAATTTCTTTCCTGTACATTCACTCCATGATGGCTCAATTAGAGCAGCAGTACAACTGTGGTTCAATATTCAGGCCAACTTCATAATTGAAAACACATTTTCTTCTCAAAAGCTGCAGCT